CGGTCTTTGAATGCAGGATGCATTGAACTCTGTCTGCATAGTCTCTGGATGAATTGAACTCTAAATGCAGAGTTTTTTAATACAGGAGTCTCTGGATGTTGGGGTCTCTAGCTGGATGCACTGCCTCTGAATGCAAGGGTCTCTGTCTGCAGGGGCCTCTGAATGCAGAGGCATCTGAATGCACTGAATTCTTGGTAGAGAGGCGTCTGGATGCGCATGTTTCTTGTCACACAGGTTATTGGACGCAGAGTCTCTGAATGCAGAAGTCTCTAAATGCAGGGCATCTTGATGCAAGGGTCTCTGGACGAAGAAGTTTCTGGATAAAAAAGTCTCTGGATGAAGAGGTCTTTAGATGCATAGGTCTCTGGGCGTAGGAATATATTTATGCATATCACTGCGATACACAAGTCTCGTAGTGTGGCAGTTAACGATGACTACGCAATTTACTGGCTTCATTATGATGATCTCAGAGCCACAGAGATGATTGCAAGACCTTTGGGATGATCGTAAGTCCCTGTGTGGCTTGACTCCACTACATGGGCACAAGAAGATGCGCTTAGTAACATAATGGCACAATAACTGGCGCGAGTGATGTCACAACAGCCCATTTTAAGAAAACACAGCTGCATTAGTTTTGTCGGCTTGATTGCTGTAAATTTCTTGACTGCTGTGAGTGTCAATAAGAATGTTGAGTTGAAGAGTTGAAGCAAGTCAACTGACTGTTACAGCGACTGTTATGAGTTCCTTGACTGATGCAGAAGCCACTAGCAAGTTCCTGACCGATGCAGACAGAAACTACTAGCAAGTTTCCTGACTAGAGCAGAAACTTCTAGCTAGTTTCTTGACTGACGCAGAAACCACTAGCAAGTTGCCTGACCGATGCAGAAACTACTAGCCAGTGTCCTGACCGATGAAGAACTACTAGCAAGTTTTCTGACCGATTCAGAAACTACTAGCAATTTTCCTGACCAATGCAGAAACCATTAGCAAGTTCCCTGACCGATGCAGAACTACTAGCAAGTTTCCTGACTGACGCAGAAACAACTAGCAAGTTCCTGACCGATGCAGAGACTACTAGTAAGTTCCCTGACTAGAGCAGAAACTACTAGCAATTTTCCTGACCGATGCACAAACTACTAGCAAGTTCCCTGACCGATGCAGAACTACTAGCAAGTTTCCTGACTGATGCAAAAACTACTAGCAAGTTTCCTGACTGACGCAGATACCACTAGCAAGTTTACTGACTGACGCAGAAACTACTAGCAAGTTCCCTGACCGTTGAAAAAAATACTAGCAAGTTTCCTGACTGGCGCAGAAACTACTAGTAATTAAGCTCCCGAAATGATGAAAAAACTACTAGAAAGTTCCCTTACCGATGCAGAAACTACTAGCAAGTTCCCTGACTGACGCAAAAACTCCCAGCAAGTGCCCTGATGATGATGATAAGATATTGATTGTATTACTTTCTTCTTAAATTCTGCTCTCATTCCTACAATAATCTCGTAAAGATCATATTGTAAAGAATGTTTGGAATAAATTATCAGTGGTCGAGGCAGGCGCGGCCTTTGACATCGAGGAGTCACTCCAGCTGTGGGGTGGTCGAGGCAGACCTGCCCGTGGACTTCAAGACTTGGACATCGAGGAGCCACTCCAGCTGTGGGGTGGTCGAGGCAGACGTGCCCGTGGACTTCAAGACTTGGACATTGAGGTGTCCCCCCCCCAGCCGTGGGGTGGTTGAGGCAGGCATGGCCTTGGACTTCAAGACTTGGACATCGAGCAGTCACTCCGAGTTGTAAGGTGCATGGTTGAGGCAGACGCCGTAATGGCGCGTGCTTGCAATATTTAGCACTATGTTGACTTCTTAGTTTATGATTTCTAATCCAAATTAACGTAAAAATACATCACTAGTCCTAAGTTATAACTGCGTCAAGCGTTATTACTGCATCATCACCTATCTTCCGTCAAGCAGTTATAGCAACGGATAACAATTATTATCATTTCACTTATTATTAATATTATACGGTATCATAGAGCAAGCAATGCGAATCAATTGTTATCAAACGAAAATTGATATTAATATTATGATAAAACGCAATGAACATCAATAATGAATATTTATAGTGCCGTGTCATCATAGATAAATAGATTAATGAAAAATGTTTTATAATTTAAGTTAGAAAAAATATATGTACCATAAATCCTTGACTTGTGATCAGTGTCTCCGTGTGACTGCTGGATAGTCTGGCCTTGATCCACCAAAGCTCGTTAATTCAGTAGCCTTGGTTAGTAAACTGCAAAACCCATTCCGTAGTCAAAGCAATATTTTAGAGCACACGCGCCTGGTCGTAAACGGGTCGGGAAATATATGGTTTGCGTGAAGTACTTAGCGGCTTCATCATTGCAAGTGCTTTATTTAGTACTTCCAAGTTACTTTTTAGTACTTCCAAGTTGCTATTTAGTACTTCCAAGTACTTTTTAGTACTTCCAAGTTGGTATTTAGTACTTCCAAGTTACTTTTACTACTTCCAAGTTACTTCTTATTACTTCCAAGTTACTTCTTATTACTTCCAAGTTACTTCTTATTACTTCCAAGTTACTTCTTATTACATCCAAGGTACTTTTACTACTTCCAAGTTACTACTTATTACTTCCTAGTTACTTTTTAGTACTTCAAACTGTCTTATTCCGACTTGCTGTCCTATATGCAAAAAATGATGAATAATAGTGCAGTCCGTGATGAGTTGGCACCTGTAATGCCAGCGATGCACATTCATCGCATTGTCTCTGAGTAACGTTTATATCATTCCTATGATATACGCGTATATTCACTGGTTAAAATTTGATAAATAAGCAAACAAAATGATAATTTCAAAATTATTTTTTGACGAGTCCAAGTTTTCCTTTTGTAAGACAATTTTTTATTAAAATTTATTTTCAGCAAAGCCAACATGAGCAGCCTGCACTTTTGTTGGTGGCATGTCCATATCAGCAATTTTATTTTTATTATTATTGTTATCATATTATTATTTTCATTATGATTTTTATTCTTGTCATAATCATCATTATTGTTATTATGTTATTATTATTGTAAAAAATCTTAGGAATACTTAACAAAATCAGGGCTGGGAAAGATATTTAGATGCTAAAATTAGCACGGAGAACTCCTCACCAAAGGTGAGAAAACACAGCTTAAAACTCATTTTAATGTGAATTTTTTTATGAAAAAATTCATTCGAATATGAATTTTTGTATCTCTATTTCATAAGAAAACACAGCTGCATTAGTTTTGTCGGCTTGATTGCTGTAAATTTCTTGACTGCTGGGAACGTCAATAAGAATGTTGAGTTGAAGCAAGTCAACTGACTGTCGCAGCGACTGTTATGAGTTCCTTGACTGATGCAGAAACCATTAGCAAGTTCCTGACCGATGCAGAAACTACTAGCGTACTAGCAAGTTCCCTGACTAGAGCAGAAAATTCTAGCACGTTTCCTGACTGACGCAGGAACCACTAGCAAGTTCCCTGACCGATGCAGAAACTAATAGCAAGTTTCCTGACTGACGCAAAAACTCCTAGCAAGTGCCCTGACTGATGATGATAAAATACTGTATTACTTTCTTCTTAAACTCTGCTCTCATTCCTACAATAATCTCGTAAAGATCATATTGTAAAGAATGTTTGAAATAAATTATCAGCGGTTGAGGCAGGCGCGGCCTTGGACATAAAGACTTTGACATTGAGGAGTCACTCCGAGCTGCGGGGTGGTCGAGGCAGACGTGCCCGTGGACTTCAAGACTTGGACATCGAGAAGTCGCCCCGAGCTGTGTGGTGGTCGAGGCAGACGTGCCCGTAGACTTAAAGACTTGGGCATCGAGGAGTCACTCCAAGCTGTGGTGTGGTCGAGGCAGACGTGCCCGTGGACTTCAAGACTTGGACATCGAGAAGTCGCCCCGAGCTGTGTGGTGGTCGAGGCAGACGTGCCCGTGGACTTCGAGACTTGGACATCGAGAAGTCACTCCGAGTTGTAAAGTGCATGGTTGAAGCAGACGCCGTAATGGCGCGTGCTTGCAATATTTAGCACTATGTTGACTTCTTAGTTTATGATTTCTAATCCAAGAGCGACGCTCGCGAGATTATTTATGGACATTTTTACCCTCTATCTGCGGATACATATTTCGTTCTCATCCCAAATGAAGCCAGAAAACAAGAGTTACTTCTACACAAAGGAGTAAAGGTAAGTAGAATAGATCTTTTGTTGTTCGTGACGTGCAGAGACAAGGAGATGATTGGAGTCTGAAAATATCATACGCATAATTAGTTGATACCGTGGGCTGCTTTGTCACAGTTTTAAACAGTGGTTTAGAGCTCGGAGGTATCGTAAGTTTGATTTACATACATGCTTGTGATTGTCACACTTTTTTTCAGGCTAAAAAAGTGCTTACTTTGTCAGGCTTACTTTCCTTCTCAGGCTTACTTTGTCCTCAAGTTATTTATTTTTCAAGGGAACATTGAAGATCACCTCTTCCACATTCATTGGTGATTTGTGCCATAGCTGTTTTATTACTTACTGCGGTTAAGTATACATTGCTCGTATTACTCTCCATTGAATGACATTATATAAAATTTTACAATTTAACATGGAAAGATGAAGGAATTAAAATACGGAGGCCGAACTCCTTCGTTAAATTAATAGTTATTCTACAACATAACACTTTCCGAAATAACATATATTATGATTTTTATGAAATCTAAAGTTCCGGCGTGTTCTAAGCAAAGATTAGTGTAATCAGAACTGAGTCATCCTTAGCAAGAAGCTTCGAGAAATTCGTATGGACAAGGGAAAGTTTTGCTCTAATCATATCCGAGGTCGAGATCTTAATATTGAGAAGCTTTTTGGAGTTGAATAATCATCCGAGGTATAACATTGTTCCTTTCTACCAGTACTCATTGATGTATGAATAAATCAAATTATCATTGGTAACGGCAAAAGGGAAATAAACAATTGAATTCATAAAGCTTTATTGCGAGTTGATTTTGATACTGAAGCATTGCATGCAAATTTGCGCCGATACGAAAGCTTGTGAGACGATCAAAGTACAAGTGTCCATTGGAGACTGAAAGCAGGTACATGAAATGCGTATATGCGTTTTGTGTTAATTTCACGTCACAGGAAATACAAGCGTCATTTAAATTTCGGTGAAGACATAGCCGAATTTCGAGCGACCAGGAGCGTATTGGCGAAGTAGGACATTGCCGATAACTTGACCGTCTGAGGTGTACTTGTAGTTTCCAGAACGAACGCTTGCAGAAGAAGCCGAGTGACTTACTCCAGAATGTGAAGTAGAGCTGTATTTAGACGCAGTCGCAGAAGCAGATGTCGATTGACCATCATTGGAAGTTCCTTCGACTTGCACTGGCAAATGATCACCAGTAGCTACGAACCCGGTCCCAGACCCTGCGATGTAGTCGACCTTACGTTCTACTCCATCATCGGCTACAAAAGAGTATGTCCCTTTGACGTCGAGATTCTTGTTGGCGGACTCTTGCCTTGTGCTGCTTCCGTCATTGTAAGCAAACGAGTATGAAGCATCTCTCTCGCTTTCTTTTACTATAGGGCTCTCAGCCTCATATTTCTGACCATGATTAGCAGCGGAATATGCTGCGGCTCCAAATCTTGATCCGCTAGATGAAAACGCAGCTACTTGTTCTGCTGGTGTAGCCTCTGGAGCCACTGGCAAGTGGTCACCTTGTGCGACAAATCCAGTGCCTGAACCAGCAATGTAGTTAACTTTCCTACGAGCGCCGTCATCGGCCACGAAGCTATACTGTCCCTTGATATTAAGATCCCTGTCGGCGCTTTCCTCTCGATCGCTGTCGCCGGCATCGTACTTAAACGAATACGACGCATCCCCTCGAGCTCCTGTTTGGATGTTTCCTTCTCCTGAGCGAGCAGCAGAAGTAGGAGATGGAGGACCGTACAATGCTGGAATTGCGGGTACATCTGGTGCACTGTACGTGTACCCTTGACGAACGGATGAAATATCATGTGCCGATGAAAGGACAGCTGCCGGAGCTGCGCTATGTAGACTTGGTGAAACTTCGGGAGCCGTTGGAATCCCGTCCCCTTCTGCAACGAATCCAGTTTCAGCGCCTGCCTTGTATCTCACTTGACGATTTTGTCCATCGTCGGCAATGAAAGAGTATTGTCCAACTACATTGTTTGCGGCGTCTCCTGTTTCGCTACGGGAGCTGTCAGAGTTTGTGTATGAGAAACTGTATCCTCCGTCAGCATTGGCGCTGCTTCGAACATTAGCGGTTTCTTGCTTCGTACTGCCAGCTTGATAGGCTGAAGCCGAGGAGGAAGTCTTGAGAAGAACTTGAGATCCTCCAACATGAGATGATCCAGAACTAATTCCGGTAACGGTGGTGTCATCTTTCGGCAAGTGATCGCCCTCAGCAACAAATCCCGTACCGGATCCAGCAATGTAGTTCACATGTCTCTGGATGCCATCATCAGCAGTAAAACTGTAAGATCCTTTTACATTCAAATCCTTGTCAGATTCTTCATTTCTTGAACTGTCTCCGGTATTGTAGCTGAAAGAGTATGAAGCATCATTCTTGCCCTCCTTGGTTCCGGTCTGCGAAGCAGAGTATTGCGATGCTGCTGCTTGGCTTGCTGCAGAAGAGACTCTCTGAGAAGAACTTGATGTTCTTGTGGTAGCAGATTTGAATTCGGGAGATGAAGGAATTGAATCGCCGTCAGCCACAAAGCCTGTTGTCGCTCCAGCTTGGTAACGAATTTTCCTGTTCTGGCCGTCATCAGCAACGAAACTGTACTCCCCGACCACATTGTTGTTAGCATCGGCATTCTCGGAGCGAGAACTATCAGAATTCGTGTAGGAGAAGCTATAGCTCCCATCAGATTTTCGGTTGGATACGATGTTTACTCCTGTCTGTTCGCCAGTTTGGCCAGTCTTGTAGGCTGCTCCTTGCGCAGATGCAGCGGAGTATTGAGAGGGTTGTGAAACTCCAGTACCCGTTGTCAGGCCGTAGTTGCTTGATGATTTGTACTTGGGAGAAATGGCATCATCTGAAGGTATATGGTCTCCTTCAGCAACGAATCCCGTTCCTGATCCAGCTCTGTATTTCACAGTTCGAAGTTGTCCGTCGTCACCAGTGAAGCTGTACTCTCCCTTGACGTTCAGGTCACTGTCAGCACTTTCAGTCCTGGAACTGTCTCCCGTTTGATACTGGAAGCTGTACGATGCATCGCCTCGTGGTTCATTCGCTGGCGCCGAGTAACCAGAAGTGACTTTAGTTCCAGAGCTACCAGTCTGATGGGAAGCATAGGCGGCGGAGGGTACACTACCTCTATTAATTTGATAGTCGTGTGAGGTAGTCGGCGCTGAATACTGAATGGGCTTTGCCGACGGAGCAGCGACTCCAACCTCAGGGGCCACTGGGAGGTGGCTTCCTGTGGCCACAAATCCAGTTCCTGATCCAGCGATATAATCCACTCGTTTATTTTCACCGTCATCTCCCTTGAAACTGTAGCTGCCTCTGACATTCAAGTCACGATCAGCATTCTCTTCGCGCGCAGAATCGCTGGTTTGGTACTTGAAGGAGTAAGATGCATCTCCTCGAGGTTCATTTTGCTGCGTGCCGGAAACGGATATGAAAGGGGCAGAAGATAAAGCTGAGGAAGAAGAAGAAGAAGAAGAAGAGGACGCCGGTGCATTGTAGAGAGTTGAGACTACCGGCGTAGCTGGGGCATTGTACGTGTAACCTTGTCTCACAGAGCCAGCGGCAGCAGCAACATTCGGTACGACGGCCGCTGGAGCAACCGCAGTACGGACCAAAGGAGGCGTCGGGATACCGTCACCCTCGACAACGAAGCCAGTGGCAGACCCTGCCTTGTACTGAACATTTCGTCGTTGACCATCACCAGCAACAAAAGAATATTGCCCCACCACGTTGTTACCAGCATCACCTGATTCCTTTCTTGAACTATCAGAATTGTCGTATGAAAACGAATAACTTCCGTCTAGGTTGCTGGCAGAATTAATGTTTGCTTCTTCTACAGGTTTACTCTTAGTAGGGACAGCGCCACCACTGTACGTAGCAGCAGTCCCTGAAGTCCTTTTACTGCCTGCAGAGTACTGAACAGCCGTTGCTGATTGCGAAGTTTCCTTTTTTTGAGATGTGGATGACGAGGCGGCTCTGTATCCTGCTGTCTCCGGTGCGGCCGGAAGATGAACCCCTCTTGGCTTGAAGCCATCAGCTCCTGCGGTGTAATCCACTCGTACGTTTTCTCCTAAAGCGTTGTTGAATCCAAAAAATCCTGTGAGGTCGCCACCACCCATTTTGACGGCGCTCTCGTAGGCTCCCGCTCCTGTATCGTAACCGTACTTGAAGTCCCCGTCGTCGTGCTGGATGTAGTACTGAGCCCTCTTACCGTGGGGCACCTCTGGGATTTTGTACTCGTCAGACTCTGGTAAACTCTGCGTGATAACCGCGCAGGCGGCCAACACCAACTGAAAAAATGGAAAAAAGGCTTTTGTGGTTTTCGGTTTCAAACTCATCGGAACTCATCATAACCAGTCTTATCGACTGGTTCATGAATTAAAAATTAAGCGTGCAACTGGAACCAATTTAAACACTTAGAACATTACAAATAATTGATTCAAAATTCTTTCTCTGTGTACCAAAGTTTTCAGAATGTGAATTTTCGAGTTTGAATTTTATTTATGAAAACATATTTATTTCTGGTCAATGCCGTGCGAATGAATTGCAGTTAGCCTGCATCACTGCGGTGACTGCAACGCCAGATGAATAGTTAGCCTGCATCACTGCAGTGACTGATACGCCAGATGAATAGTTAGCATCATGAATTAAAAATTAAGCGTGCAACTGGAACCAATTTAAACACTTAGAACATTACAAATAATTGATTCAAAATTCTTTCTCTGTGTACCAAAGGTTTCAGAATTTGAATTTTTGAGTTTATATTTGATGTAGGAAAATATATTTATTTCTGGTCAATACCGTGCGAAATAAATGAAATGGAATCCGTAATTTTCTCAAATGAGGATTTGTAGTTCACGAATTTTTCAGTCACATTTGGGCAAAGTCGTTGAATGCGTATCTTCGATTGGTGGTCTGTACGAGATTCAACTCTCAAATTTGCTCAATTGAGCATCAGAAACTGATTAATTTCAGTATGAAAAATGCCTTATGATAAAAGTCTTCGTTCTTGGTTCACGACCTTCATGGAACTACACAAGAAATAAAAATATATCTATTGGATAATCGATGGAAGTAAGTGCACAAAGGGCTTATTTGACACTACTTATATCTATTTTTAGCATAGTACTAGTTTAATCGCAGTCACGATTACATTTTATAAATTAAATAGTTCACAAATTGAGACCGTATTATTCAAATGACCACGGAATATTTTGAAAGAAAATAATATGTATTTATGCATATGAAAAATAAAAATCGAAACATCATGACTGAAATACGTCTTAATAATATTTCACTTAATAATAATTCATATATGTTGAAAAATAATAAATAATATCTCGTAATAAATTAAACATCACTCAATAATAATGCGTATTTATTGAAAAAGGAAACCGAATTGAGATTTGGTACCTAAATATATCAAGCATTTTTTCTTTATTTAAAAGTGGGGTGGGTTTAATCGTGCTATAATCGTTCGCTGGGAGCGCAAGCAATTTTATTTAAGATCATGTTGCTGAAAAATAGGATATTTTCATCGAGCTACAGCGATCGAAGACCGATATTTACGTAAGGTAATCAGGAAGCCTAAGCTCCTACAAGCTCACTGCTCAGGGCCAAATCTTTGTTACCTTCAAAACTTAGTTAACCGAAAAGCAAGCTGAACAAATTTCCACTTCGCTTGTGATGAATTTCCATCTTGTTGACTAGTGTCCCTGCACTACTGAAACGCTAGATGAATAGTTAGCCTGCATCACTGCAGTGACTGCAACGCCAGATGAATAGTTAGCCTGCATCACTGAAGTGACTGCAACGCCAGATGAATAGTTAGCCTGCATCACTGCAGTGACTGCAACGCTAGATGAATAGTTAGCCTGCATCACTGCAGTGACTGCAACGCTAGATGAATAGTTAGCCTGCATCACTGCACTACTGCAACGTCAGATGAATAGTTAGCCTGCATCACTGCAGTGACTGCAACGCCAGATTGCCTTAGAACATTATTCTTCTTAACCTTTACTTACAAATTTATGGATCATACATTATCTCACATTCGTGGATCTTTGTATGTCATGTCTGTATTTCGTGTAGGAGTTAGAATGAGTCATCTTGAACGACTAGCTAAAAGAAGCCGTCATGCATGGATTCATGGTTTGAATTGAAAGTTTTTCTAACAGTGCGCTTATCGATAAAAAATAATTTTATTTCCGTTCTAAAACTAGACACCAAATACAATTATATGCGGCGGAATATGTGCATTATTTTCTGTAGATTAAGTGCTCTAGATTTAAGTATATAAAAGAGTAGCTTCTACTGATGAAATATCCACGGTATCATAGGACCTTTTCTTTGGTCGTGACTTCAGCCCGGCCGGAATCTCAAGGCCAGCCGTTGTACAGAACTTGTAGCCCGCCACTGTATAGGTGTGTCATCTCCACGCCGCTGCCTCCCTCCATCAATCCCGCACCAAACAAATTCATTTCAACCACAAAACTAATTCATTCATTCCATAACTAAGTCCATAATCCTAATTGAAAAGAAGTCGTATAAAACAAAGATTTAGAGTGATATGAGAAAAAGTCTGGATTAGTATTAATTTTCATTGAAGTTTTAAAATTACGTTAATTTTAATTGTTCTTTCAAGTTGACACACGAAAGGATTTAATGCGTTTAGCCGATTCCACAAATTTACATTATTTTGAAGCTGATTTATAATTAAAGTTATTCAGTGTTAAATTTAAACTACTTTACAGTAAGTAAGAGAAATTCAATTACAGATTAAAAAACAATAAAGAATAGCAACTACATATAAGCAAACAACAAAAATTTAGAACAATTTTTTTCCAATTAAATTAAATAAATAAAAAGCAAATAAATATTGCACAATAACAACAATATTTAGTCCAATGATATGATCGACTTTGGCAGGATGCAGCACATTATTCGGGCCATCATTACTACATCATTTAGATTCCAAGACAATCCCCAGACCTCCTTAGTTCTATAAACAATCCATATTGCCTTTTATTACATAAGGATTAATGCACTTTAACTATCACAGTGTTAGCTATCATAAAGTTTTAGCCGTTCTGCTTTTAACTGGAAAACATTCAGTAAAAGATGCCGTATGTGAACATGACACTGGATGTTCAAGTAAATGAAACTACCTGTTAAAGTACAGCAATAATAAAGGAATACGATTTTTTCTGCCTCTAAGACAATAAATTATAGTGAAAAATGTATTGACCACCGCAGTTTTTGACGATCTGCAGTAATGTGAAGCAAATTGGTTGTTTCGTCACCGAGTGATGCGTGTGAATTGAGTTTTGACTGGAGAACAATGAGTTATTTACATGGTTGGTCCGAGCAGAATTGAAATGGTTTGGGCTACTTGTCTGTTATTGGCATTTATTTACAGATTTACTTGTAATAACAGAGACAACATAAACTATAAATTTAATTTGGTGGTATAATTATGTTTTGAGACGTTTTTTCAGTAAAATTGTCGTATGGATGTCGTGGTTCAGAGCAGTAATAAATTTCTACATAAGGGTGAAAATTCGGTTATGAGACTGAATCGTCAGAAATAGTTACTTTTATGATTGAACATTAAAAGTTGGAGATAATGAACATTAAATTTTAAGGATAATGTGGGCACTTTGAAAATCTAACAGAATATTGGATTATATAATATAAATAAATATTCATTTGAAGGAATAAATATAGATTAACGTAAATTAAAATTGATTAGAATCATGGAATATACGACATTCAGCTATACAGGGAAGGCTAGGATATATTTTAAAACATAAGGAAACAGAACCTGCCTGAAAATTTGAATACTTTGAAACTAACCATGCATGAGTAATATTAACCATGAAGTTTCAACGTACCCAGCTATACCACCAAGCCATGCTTGTAAATCTGTAAAATTCAATTATGCTGGGGAAGTATTGAAGTATTTCAAACATTATAGAACACAAGTGCACCGCCACCGCCAGAATATTTGAATACTTCGAAACTAACCATGCACAAGTAATATAAACCATGAAGCTTCAACGTACCCAGCAATACCACCGAGCCATGCTTGTAAATCTGTAAAATTAAATTATGCTGGGGAGACTATAGGAAGCATTTCAAAACATTATAGAAAAAAAGCTGCACCGTCTCTGCCAGAAAATTTGAATACTTTGAAACTAACCATGCAAAAGTAATATTAACCATGAAGTTTCAACGTACCCAGCTATACCACCGAGCCATGCTTGTAAATCTTCGTATCAGAGGACAGTAGGAAGAGCGCTACCCGGCAGCGTGTGTGCGGGCACTCCACTTCTTCGCGTATGTCGTTCACCAACGCTTACGATGCAGCATATATACGCACCACGCATGGATGCGACATATATACGCACCACGCATGCATGCGACATATATACAAACAACGCATGGATGCTCTGAAGACCTCGCCCATTTAGACCAGATGGACCCGCCTCCTTGTTCTGGCAGCGAGGCACTGGATGCAAGAAGACCATCACATGGGGGAGAAGGGGGCTAACGTTGCTGTGGGGACTGGGGGAGTAGGGGGCTAACGTTGCTGGGGGTGTCAGTTAACATAGTCTCCATAGTCAGTTAACATAGTCACCATTGTCAGTTAACATGGTCATCATAGTCAGTTACCTTAGTCACCATTGTCAATTAACATTCTCACCAAATAGTCAGTTACCATAGTCCATTACCATATAGTCAGTTACCACAGTCTGATGCTAGGGACGTTTTTTGTGTCTAAGATGCTTCAGCTGCCGTAAACGTGCAGTTAATTTGAGCTAATGCGTTGAAGAACACGAATGATCTTTATAATAGCCATAGCTAGTAAAAATATCATATTTAATTAGTAATGAACTCAAATTAAATTTGACTCTTCCAACGCTATATTACGTGCATTATTAATGTTATTGGCACGATTTTTTACATTAATTTCCTGATTATTTATGGCGCAGAACATAATTGATGAGAATGCATAACGTCTGCTCTGTGAGCGGGTTTTGTTTAGTTTGTTGTTCACTGTTCATGAGACAAGCGTTTAGAAATTAAAATAGAAGAGCAAGAACGTCACACACATTTAAAATAGTGAAGGATTGATGTGTGATTGTGATAAATGGGTTGAGAATGAACTGTGGGGACTGGGGGAGTAGGGGGCTTACGTTGCTGTGGGGACTGGGGGAGTAGGAGTCTAACGTTGCTGTGGGGACTGGGGGAGTAGGGGGCTAACGTTGCTGTGGGGACTGGGGGAGTAGGAGTCTAACGTTGCTGTGGGGACTGGGGGAGTAGGAGTCTAACGTTGCTGTGGGGACTGGGGGAGTTCATATAGGGGGCACAGAAGTAAAATTATGAAACGTTTGCTGGGAGTTAAATAAGGCAACGTTTGCTGTGGGGTGAAATATTACAGCCATTGCTGCTGGTTAAATGGAGCGACGTTATATGTTTCAGTTAATGAGGCGGAATGTTTATGTAACATGTATACCGTGGGCCATGAGTTGAATATATTGCTGGATCGTTGCTAACTAGGGTATGACCTTAATTAATATGATTCATGATATGAGCCATGAAAGAGTTACCATAGTCAGCGATACCATAATCAAGTACCATAGTTAGTAACCGTAGTGCCTGAGATATTTTTGTTAACAGTTAATATAGTATGATGACTGAGATGTTTTTGATGCCTAAGATGCTTCAGCTGCCTTAAACGTGCAGTTAATTTGAGCTAATGCGAACACGACGAATCTTTATAATAGCCTTAACTAGCAAAAATATCTCATTGAACTAACAATGAACTAAGCTTGAATTTGACTCTTCAGTTTTCATATTACGTGCATTATTAAGGTTAGTGGCACGAGTTTTTACATTCATTTCCTGATTGTTTATGGCACAGTAGAACACAATTGACGATAGTTATGGAAAGATCGGGTTTCAAAGGCCGGATCCCTTGTGAATCAAGTCACGAAAAGTACAAGAATCGGCAACAGCTAGGCCATGGGCCGCCAATTTCTTCAGTGCCGACACTTCTATTCTATTTTATAATTATTAACGTCCGTCATGTAAGCGGGTTTTGTTTATTTTGTTGTTCACTCGCACTGTTCATGAGAGAAGCGTTTAGTAATTTAAATAGAGGAGCAGGAACGTCACTTACATTTAAAACGGCGAAGGATTGATGTGTGATTGTGATAAATGGGTTGAGAATGACCAGGAAAGCTCATCAGGATGCCAGTCAGAAAACGATTGAATAAATTATTTTTTTTTGTCACTTTATTAGGCATCTAAATGGATCTTGGGTTTCATTTACCGACGATTCTTCTATGAACAAAAACTTATATTGATCATTCAATGTCGAATTCCTAATCTATAATTGCCACATATATCAGACTTCGATGCCAGACGGCTGTCAATGGTTGAATTGATTCAAGGCTTCGTAATTCGTTGGCACGCCACACGTCGAAATCATATTGACCTGTCTCTTATACACATCTAGATGTGTATAAGNCTTATACAAATCTCCGATAAATCATCAAACAGTTTTGCAAGAGTTAAGAATGCAATAATTTAACTATTTCTGTTTATTTATACATAATTTTATGGTTCGATTTGAAGAATAGTTTTAATTTCATTTTGAAATCAAGTACAAATTTGATATATCTATAATAATAATCTTTTTATGCCATTAATAACGTCAGTTCACCATCAATTATTGATCGTCAATCTATCGTTAACATATTAAACACTTCAGAGAAACCAACAATAATCTTCGAAGTCATCAGCTAGTCATCATCAAATTCGTCAATATTCTTTGAAGTCATCAGCAGTCATCATAAAACTCGTCAAATTTATTAATTTATCGTCCAAATCACATGTTATACGCGATATTTTTTCATTCTGTCGCTTCAATTTCATTGCATTGAATCGATTATCGCGGAGGCAATTAACGTAAAAATACATCACTAGTCCTAAGTTATGACTGTGTCAAACGTTATAACTGCGTCTTCACACGTCTCCGTCAAGCAGTTATTGCAATGGGGAATAATTATTATCATTTCACTTATTATATTATTCGGTATCAGGGAGCAAGCATTGCGAATTGTTATAAAACAAATATTGATATTATTATTATTATGAAAAAACTTAATGAACATCAATAATAAATATTTATAATGTTGTGTCATCATAGATGCGAATCAATTTTTATCAAACGAATATTGATATTAATATTATGTAACTTAATGAATATCAATAATGAATATTTATAATGTTGTGTCATCATAGATAAATAGATTCTTGAAAAATGTTTATAATTAAAGTTAGAAAAAATATATGTCCCATAAATCCTTGACTGGTAATCAGTGCCACCGTATGGCTGCTGGATAGTCTGGCCTTGATCCACCAAAGCTCGTTAATTCAGTAGCCTTGGCTAGTAAACTGCAAAACCCATTCAGTAGTCAAAGCAATATTTTAGAACACACGCGCTTGGTCGTAAACGGGGGCCATAATTTCAAAACTCGCTAAGTGAGCGTAAGTACTTACGCTCTATTTTCTTGTCTGCGATTGGTGGATTTTGCTTGAAAGGCCGTCAATGATTGGCTGATGAACTTACGATCTCTTAACTTTTTTTGAAAGTATACGCCCAGGTCCAGAAATACGAAGAATGCGTTAATTATTTAGCGGCTGCATCATCGCAAGAATTTTATTTGGTTCTTCCAAGTTACTTTTTAGTACATCCAAGTTACTTTTTACTACTTCCAAGTTGCTATGTAGTCCTTCAAAGTTACTTTTTACTACTTTCAAGTGGCTATTTGGTACTTCCAAGTTACTTTTTAGTACTTCCAAGTTACTTTTTAGTTCTTCCAAGTTACTTTTTACTACTTCCAAGTTGCTATTTAGTACTTCCAAGTTACTTTTTAGTACTTCAAATTGTCTTATTCCAATTTGCTGCCCGATACAAAAAATGGTGAGCTACTTCAATTCTGGCCTTGCGTGCCAATAATGAGCTTACGCTCTTTATTAGCACGAATAATAGTGCATACGAATAATAGTGCATACGAATAATAATAATACGAATAATAGTGCATACGAATAATAATAATACGAATAATAGTGCATACGAATAATAATAATACTGAAAATTTTATCAAAATGAATGGTTATATTGATAAGAAAATTAGCAATGATCGTTTGTTTGAAACGAGTCCTGTTCACCTGCTTCTGTTTACTATTCGGTAGAAAAATAACTCGGGTAGAAATCTCGGGTAGAAAATAGTATTGCGGGTTTCTGCTTACTGCAGTCTCTTGTTCGATGGTTAATTGCGGGTTAATGATAGTCATGGTTGAACTACATATACTAATAATTCAACCATGAATGATAGTGCCACTGAATTGACCTTGCCAAGCGGATCAGGTTTGGTCCCTCAAGTCTTAACAATTTTCTAAGCAGGCACTTTTTCAATTTCAAATTGATTTTGTGAAGCCGAACAAATTATTAAACAATAATTAGCAATCCTTAAATTGTTTAGGCTTTTAACCAAACGAAATATGAGATAAGTAATTAGAAATGGAGATAGTATTGAAGATATTGATCAACAATAATTTGATGAAAATTTGCGTCTTTTTCGAATTGATGGCCAATGCGCACCAGGTCTTCTAATGATTGAGATGAATTACGTTCAAACATAAAGATGAACTTTATAATTGAGATGAACTTTCGTTCAAACATAAATGCTTGTGATGTCCATGTAAAGTGTGTATTCAAACTGGAAAATAGTAGAAGCATAATGCAGCGAAATTTGAAAAATTTACCATATATACGTATCAGTAGCTAGAAATAATTGAGTGTATTTATTCTTTCGGGACTAAATTTGTCATTTTATGAGGTACGTATCTTATTCTGTTTGTATTTTTATGTGTGTCACGTGATACACATGATTCAATAACTTATCGACCATGTTCACGTAATAGTGTTGTATATAAATTGCCACATTAACTCTCATTAACAATTATAAGTCAAATTGAAACATTAAAGTTACGATTTTGATTTAAAATGTAATGTAAACAAATGGTTTTTAATTTAAAAATGTGTAATCGAAGATCACTACAATGATTGAAAAATATCGGAACATCCTTTGGGCTATCAATGATAATGACACAAATTAAACCAAGTCCGATTTAAAGTCTAAAACATTTAATTGACAATCAGTTTTACATTAGATAAATATCGAGATGTCCTTCAACTGATCAAAAATAAATACAATAATAAAAAACAGCAGGTAATTCTCCTTATAATCAAACAAAGATGAGAAAACTAAGGCCAAACAGGA